ATGAGAACAAACACGATACAGTATGTACAAGTTCTTGCTCTACATGTATACAACAAATGATGATGAGTTCAGTACATAAATCTCAACGTAGGCCCACAATGTATTTAACTGAGTACCGTAGTACATACATGTACATGTAGATGAGTAGCTTGATAGCAGTTCCTGGATGATGTATTCCCAGGTTACTTGCAATATCGAGAGTTACTGAAGTGGTCACGTTTTGAAGAAAGACAAGTATAAAGACTATCTGCACTTCAACTTTACTAGAAGATTTGGATTGTAAACAAACTTGAATCAACTTGAAAAACAATTTAGACCTTGGTGAAAAGCTTCATGCATTCAAAAAAGTGTATCCTCAATACAGGTAGTGTACATATACATGTACATGAACGTGTTTATTATTAATTAGAGATGAGGACTGCACTACTGTACATGTACCTACAGAAGCATTTTTTCCTTTTAACTTGATAATTCTAAACTCTGTTGAGAGCCAGAAGGGAGTTCACTCTGTGTTAAAGCATATGAGTTAACGACCTTCTGGCTTCAAACAGACTACCATATACATGTACATGTATAATACATAAATCAGATTAATAAAATTACTATTACCAGAAGGCCTTTGCTCTACAAAGCAAACATACACGTACTTGGGTCATATAAGGAGGATGTAAAGCAAACATACACCTGTAATACTTAATTGGGTCATATCAGGAGAAAGTACATTTCTATGACTATCCTTGCATTGTTCATGAACAAGGACAATTTTTGACCTTGGTAAACAAGTCAACAAAACTGGGTTGATCAGTCTTTGAGCAAATATTCAAGATAAAGGCCAGGGGGGTGTTTCACAAAGATCCTAAGTTGAACTTATCTCTAAGTTGGACTTAAAATTTATGGGAAGCCATTAGCATCCTTGAAAATATTTTGTAATTTTTTTTTTAGAAGGCATAAAATGTTGATTCAAATCATTCATATTTTCTATTATCATGGGAGATTTCATGTTCTTGATGTGGAATTGATGAAAAGTCTAAAATACTCCAAATTTTTGCTTTTGAATATATGTCATTCTAAGGCTCCAATGGCTGTCCATACTTTTTAAGTCCAACTTAGTGTTAAGTTCTACTTAGGATCTTTGTGAAACACTCCCCAGGTCAGCTTTACTTACTCCAGAAGAGAAGAAAAATGAATTGGACTAATAATAGAGAGTCATGCGTGTTTAATAAATATCAGATCAATAAATCTATGCAAATTTAAATTGGCAATTTGGTCAGTGGGTTGTGAGTTATGAATTATGCAAGGACAAATCTCATATTTGTCTTATACAAAAATTAACATTATTTTCTTTTTTTGTTCTAAACACATTCTCCCTTAGGGCATTACTCAAAATATATTTATAGCATATTATATCAAAGCTTCTAAACAAGAAAAAGGCCCTCCGGAGCCATACATTTTTGAAAAACTATTTAACATTGTAGTCATTGAGTGATTTCAAGTTGGGTGTTTAGGGCTGGTGTTAGTGTTTAATAAACACTGTAACACCAGTCCTAAACCACGAAATGGAAATCAGCTGGTGTTAAGGCCTTGACCTTTCAATATTGTTAACTTCCCGTAGCTAGTGTTATAGATTTTGCAAAATTGTCGTCTGCTGAACCGACCTTTGTGGCTGGTGTTAATATTTTATGTATAAATTTCCTATTCACTAACACTTGCCCCTAGGGACTAAGCAAATGTTGAATTCCAGTTTGGTGTTAGTGTTAAGCTATCGATATTGATATTGGTATCGGGCTCTTAATTTCACCAGCAAATTTTTAGCTCGATTTAAGAACTCTTGACTGCTCTAAACACTAACACTAACACCCAACTTGAAATCACTCATTGTGTGCGTTGGAACGAATGGGAACGCTGTCTAGCACACTGTTACATTAATATTACTGATTCAGTCAATTTGAAAAAATCTCCCTATGTATAATCATTACAATTCTCAAAAACTTCATGAGTTTCTTATTTCATGTCCGATTTTGTTAAAATTTTCACAAAGCTGCTAATTCCCTGAGTTTTCTTCTTCTATTAGAGTCATTGGCCATCATGCATGGTTGGATTTTCCTTTAAAGAGGATGTCTACCTTCATTATGAAACAAAAAGAGTGAGCACATACATAACAAAGTTGACAAATTGAAGAGCCTTCATTTTTAATGTACATTCATTGAAGATGTTTTTGATATACATGAATGAAATTATTAGGAGTTAAAGACTTTGAAAAGCAATTCAAGTACATAGAGGCAATTACCACTATACATTATAGTACTAGCATACTAGCAAAGTACAATGTCTAATCCCTATTTCCATAACATCAATTTGTATACATTTAAAGCCACAGTAAAAGCATGACACATATTTCCTCTTCATTTCATTTTTTGTTAGCACATGATGTTTCTTTGGCAGTGGATCTCATGCAGGCTTGAAACCAAACTTTATCTCATTGATCCCAGAAGTCTCTCCTAGCTTGACTTCCTGTGCAAGGCACAGACCTCGTCACTTGTTGTTTTCCCAATCCCACAAGGAAAGAGTAAAATATTGCAAATTCAGAACTATTAGAGGGTTTTCACACCACTGCTGAATTCCAGTAAATTTCTTTATATGCCTATTGTGCCAGTTTGTTTTGTTGCTTTACTTTGTATATTTTGAATTTTAAAAACTTGGTTGTCACTACTAAGTCATACTTGTAAAAGAAAACTGTACGTTATAAAAAAATCCACCATTTTAATTAAAAAGACAAGCTTTATTTATTGTATTCAAAGAGAAAGTCCATCCTGATATCTAGACAAATGCAAACAAGAAAAATAGATCTGAGAAAGGAACTCATCAAATACTAGTATGAGAGTGAAAACTGAAAATAATTGCTACTTGACAGACAACTCTGTGTATCATTTTAATGGTAGAAATCTAATCATGTTAAGAAGAAAACCATTTCAAGTACAGTAACAGACTGTTTCCAAGAATTTAATACATTTCTTGCTAAAGATATGTACATTAATTGAAAAGTGAAAGTGTGCATACTTTAATGTCGTCATGTATTATCATCCATGAGAAGGATTACATATAAATCTGACCCAGGCCCTGTCTCATTACGGTAAGCGTTGCAATTAATCCAAATTTATTGCAACTCGTCTGAAGATTGATATCAGTTGCAACTCTGAACATACATGTACATATAAGAGAGACAGGAGAATGCAGACTTGTGAAAATTCAGATCACTATCTTTCTGAAATAGGCCTTGGAATAGGCCATCTTCGTAAAATACATACTTCCATGTACAAGTGCCTCAATACAAATTATTTCATTCACTTGTAACAAATAATTGCATTTCAATACCGGTATTCAGAATGCAAACTGTGTGTTGTTAGGTAGGGCAAGCCTAAATTTATCCTACCTAGCAACAACTAATGTCTCAATTTGAATTCTGACTATTGAGATACATTTATTTGTAACAGATGAATGAAATGATTCATTCACCTTACTTATATAATAATTCAAGTTTATGCATATGCTTCACACAGGCATATGCATAATTTTGGTAACGTTACAAAAAATGGCCTATTGAAAATTTTGAAATGTGATTTGGACATAAGGGTTTTGTTTCATAAAACCATCACACACTGTAGACCTGTACAGTTCATACGGTTCATAGAGCAACATGAAAAAGGGAAGTTGTCTAAGATTCATACAGTGTGAAAGCACTCTCTCAAAAAGTTTAGCACCCTGGATGTCGGTTCATTGTGTTGCTGGTGTGAATGGAAAAATACATGCACCTACAGTGCACATGTACTAACACAAACTGAAGGTCATTGAAGCAGAAAAACATGTAAATGTATTTAAATGGACGTTGTTCATATCCACATGGTTTTAATGCAACTCTGTAAGTTTAGAGCTATGATCAGATGATCAAATTGTTGGTGTGGCTTCCGATATCTGTATTAGATCGGCAGGGAAATCTGTTGCACTTTTTTTTAAATCTCCAAAAATTGTCAAAATTAGACAATTTTGAGGACTCTTATACTGTTTTCACACTGGCAAAATTTTGCTTAACCCTGTACTATAGGTGGGATTAAGGGGGGGGGGGGTCTTAGCCCCACCTTTAGTCCGGGGTTAAGCTTATTCCACTTTCTGTTCAGTTTCATATTTACCAAAGTGGGCTAGCTGGCCCTGCAAAATAGCAGGGCTAACCCCGCAATTATGGTGCGCACTCCTGCTAACTCCGCGATTGCGGTGCCAAGCAAATGAATGAGAACAGAAACGAAAAAAGTCCGGTACTACGCAATGGAGCATATCGCAGCTGGCCAGATGCGAAGTAAGGAGGGGGATGAAGAAGGAACGTTCTACAAACACCAGACTTGGTTCAAATAAATTTACCATGAATAGGGGATAATATATGGCTTCTGGAAACTGTTCCTACACCGAGTACTATTATTTTAAAGGCAATGTGCATCTTCACTTGACTTTCAATGGCAGGGTGAGCGGAAGGTCAGACCCATGCAGGCATGTTTAACCCTCCTTTCAGACTACCAGAATTTATTGTATAGCATTGTGTACAAGAATCATATACATGTACACAATATGCAATTATCTTTCTTTCCGGTCTTAACATTGTAAAACAAAACGTTGTAGAGAGTAATGCATATATTTTGTATGCATCTTTTCGCAACAAAAATCAATAAAGAGAGTCAGATTACCATTCTGGTTTGGACGTCATGCTTAAATACCGGTAGTATGAAAATCGTATCACAGGGAAGGGTAATAGCTGTCACACACTGATGACTGTCCAGCTGCCGTGTGAACTGACCACTTTAACACTAGTTTCTTTTAATATACAACATTCTTTTTAACTTGTTAATAACCAGTCAGCATACCCCTTTCACTCTATGATGATTCTTTATACGTTTCTTTTCACATGTGTTTCATATCAATTTCCTCATGAACGAACATAAGAAACAAGTACTTACCGCGACCTGTTCGTCGGTCCACTGGTCAAGCGGAATACTCTTGGTCCTACTGATCTGGACGCCCAGCATACGATGGACGGTGGCACAGTGAACACACAAGAAGACACCTAGGTTGTAAGCTCCCCAGTCCGAATCCTCTAACAGATGCAAGCAAGTAAAGGAATCATCAAAACATTAAAAGTATTGACATAAAAATATATAAAAAGAATAGACATGAATGGGAGAGGTAAGAAATTACAAAGGGATGGTAGGACATAACGTGGGTATTGTAAGATATTGTCTGCTTAAAGCCAGATCAAGGGGCATTTATGCTTTGTAAAATGATAGGAGTTATCTCCCCTCTGGCTCCAAACAGACGATTTTATAAGGGTTGGTAATACGTTCCATGTAAATGTAAAAAGAATAGTACTTGTGTTAATGTTAAATTGAAAGAGAAAGTTGAGAATGGCAAATACATGCTGTGGAGACATGCATTTTATTAATCACATGACTGGTTGAATTATGAATCTCTGATACAAATAAGTTTAGTATTATTAATAAGATTAGAAATATCTGAAACACTGTATTGTCCTATCGGGTGAAAAGATGACATATCAGCATTGTTTAATACTGATTTTCACATTTCATTACTGACAATTAATTATTCTTCAACTGTAATTCAAAAACTATATTATTAATTGCAGTTTAAATATTAATCATTGGTCATTCCTAAATGATTTTTGGTCATTATCATTTTAAATCATTCATAACAAAGTTTTAATCATCCTTCAATGAATACAGAGCCAATTATTTCAATGAACCTCTAAAGATGTACATGTAATTAATGTACAATTCACAGCAAACTTCTTTAGCTTTGGTGCTTTTACATGAACAGTGTATGTGGCATCTTAGAAATGTCTATAAAACTAAAAGCAGGATTAGGCAAACTATCTGTTAATGTGAAGTAGATCTAAATGTATTGTGCATGCATGGATTAATAATTCACTATTAGCTTTAGCATGATTGTCAATTTTTCGCAATGCAGGTGAGAATTAAATGTTAGCAAGGTTTTATATCACACAGATGTTAAAACAAAGTTTTAAGGCCCATTCTTATGTATGTAGCAGTAAACTGCCCCCTAAACAGCAATGTGCAGCAAAACTTTGCGTGTAATGGATTGGTCATACGTATACTTGCAACATGGCCCCTCTGCCTACTACTGGGTAACTGATCTGTCTGCAAAGCTCACTACAATTTCTTGTGATTGTGAATAGGTTTATTTGCATTAAACATGTACATGTAATTCTTGATCTTAGTTTTAAAACTTTCATTGGAGTTGTTATTATAGTCTACTCCAAATTAATGAACACAATAGTTACCTTGACATTTTTTCTTCTGTTATTTGACTGCAGACTTAGATTTGGTTTTGATTTAACAAAAGTACAAAATGAATTTCTTTATCTGCAAATCATACAATGTATGGCATAGGATGTGCCTTCACTGCCTTGCCTTCATACATGTACATTTCAAAATAAACCTTCAGAAACTTCTATGGCGATGAGTCCACTGTCAAGTGGTTAAAAACGGCTGTTTGGGAAATTTTGTGGGGATTTTTGGAAACACATATTTTTGGAAAGAGAATTTAATAACTATACACATGTAAGACTTCATTTTATTGCAAGTTTTTTTACAATAGGTCTAAACTTTCTTTTTCAGCTGTCTGACATATACACTGAACAACACAGTAATCGCCAAAACAACAACTACTGGCGATCAGAAAAATTGGCGCCTTACATTGTACAGTACTTCAGTCTGCCAATTCACGTCTGAGGAATTAAGGTGTCTGAACTCTAGAAACTGCTACATGTAATTTGGACTTTTGAATGTGATTTAAGAATTTTCAAACAAGTATTACAAGCATCCTGGTGAAATTCTTCATAAGCATGACTAAATATTTTATTCAGTTGTAAAACTGCAGTTCAATATAGCGTGACCTTGCAATCACCATCGCTAGTTAGATACACGGAAAGATAACGTGGTAATGACTTGATGAGGGGAAACAGTCAGGAAGTTGGCCGAAACTACAAAAAGGAGGATATCCTTCCTCCAACTGTACGGTACTTTATGTACACAAGTTTCCCGCTTCGGATTGTCCAATTTTAAACATAATAACAATGGTGGTGAGTATGGTTGCTCTTGTGTGTACTATTTGTGTGTGTGTGTGTGTGTGTGTGTGTGTGTGTTTGTTCGTGTGTTTGTCTATGTCTGTAATTATGTAATGCTGGAAAAAAATACGGGAAAAAGATACCAAATATACACCTAATCTAGATATGATGTTCTTCATTAAAGGGAACCAAAACCTTCATACTAAGTTACTTTTTTGTAAAGTTTAAGATATTTGAATAAAATCAGTGAAAAATTGAACAAAAATTGAACATCAAATTTCACAAGTCTTTCGTTTTTTTCCTATTTATTTGTGTTCTTGATCGGATTTCATAACATGTGAAGTAGAATATCATTTTGCATTCTATTATCTCAATCACAAGAAAGAAGGAAAACATGAAATTTGATGTACGAAAGGCATGGAGAGTTGTCCACAAATGATGTCATCAAATTGAATATCGCCCTCTAGTGACTAGTCATTTCAAAAAGCTTTAACTTCCTTATTCCTTGCCCGGTTTTGTTCAAATTTTCACTGATTTTATTCAAATATCTTAAACTTTACAATAAAAGTAACTTGTATGAAGGTTTTGGTTCCCAGTTGCTAATTACTATATTCATGAATACCTACTAATTAGCATATGAACAAAATGCCATTTGTTTGGGTGTGTACAATTTTGTATGCAGTGAGGATTTTATAAATCTGTTTGTGTGTTCCTACTATGAGTATTGTGCTGCTAATTATTTCAGAACAATATTTTCAGTTATGAGGCTAAAAACAAGTAAAATTATTAATAAATAGAGAATTAAAATCATATTTCCCATTTTTTACATATTTACCGGACGCGCATCTTATTTACCGGACGGTATTTACCGCCGGTAATTACCGCCGGTAATTACCGCCCGACCCTGTGCCTAATACATGTATACTTGGTAAATAAAGCTTACTTAATATATTTAAAAATATATATTTGTTTGTGTTCCCCCTCCCCAATAATAACAATATGGATTAATCTAATTTCATACACTTGCAATGTCCATGTTAGAATATGGAATCCATGGACACTTTTTCTAGATTTGTATGTGCATGTAACAGACTAGATAAAAAATTAAAGAGTTTAGAAGTTATGTAATTTCCAGTGAATGATTGTTAAGAATAGTAGGAAGAACAGAAATGTATAAGAACTACGCTTTAAATATTAAGAAAAAAATTGTTTGTTTTGATTTTAAAGTCTTCCACCTTGTGTCCATATCTAAATAGGGCTGTATGATTAGGCTACGATTAACTACAAGTATAACCTGCCAGAAAAGACTTATACAGTACCAAGGGGGTGTTTCATAAAGCTGTTTGTAACGTTACGCATGACTTTATGAACGACTTGAATATGAAAAGCCAAATGGGATGCTCAATCATTTTCAACTGCATCAACTTAAGTTGAACTGTGCAGATGTAGATTAACATTCTTATCATAACAATCATTTTTAATGCAAAGTAAATTTTTTGCCATAATTTAATTGAGGTTATTGGAAATATAGCCACACTTTGTTAAAACATCAGGAAAAACTTTGGGCATCCTCTCTGGCACTTCATATTCAAGTCGTTCGTAAAGACATGCGTAACTTTACGAACAGCTTTATGAATCACCACCCTGGACATTTCTCACAAAAGTGAAAATAAAAATTGAGGCTTTGCTTCATTGGAATACAGAAGTTTACATACATCATAAATCTAAGATGACCTCTCAGGAACATCAATAAATACAAGTACAGTAGTACAGTACGATGTCCACGTATGAGCTAGCTTTACTTGAATAATCATACAAAGTATATACAAACTTTATATCTTTCCATTTAGCTTGTACATGTACATGTAGCTAGTGCTGTAAGATAAACCTTGGGCCCATATATCTATCAAACCTGACTAGTTGTCGAAATATATTATTATTACTACATGTACATAGCCTAAAGTATACTGTACAATAGTTAGTCATTGTATTCTATTTCTAGCACTCAATTGCATTCTTTTACAGAAACCTTCAATTTCAACTTGACAAGGACATTTGACAATGGACTTGCACCTCCCACACAACCAAAGTATACAATGAATAGTCAACGGACTCGCAATATTTATCAAAGTAGCAGTGATCATTGTTCCGAGTATGGTACAAATTTACAATTCATTAGCATTGCTACTGGGGCATGAAGTTCCACTTGCATGCTCCATATAAATTTTTAAAAAAAAGTTCCAATTGCATGCTCTTGATCCTGGCATATATTGTAATATCCAGAAAAGTTCTGGCACAAAGTGACAGAATCACATGACCTTTACTGGCCAATTTAGGTGCTAAAGGAGAATAAACGTTAAAAGGGCAAAATCACAAGGGATTATAATTTGTGCATTATCCCCTACAAATATTCAAATGATCAATGGGTATAGATCTACAGTGTAGGAGAGAAAAATCAATCACACTTTTAAGGCCCAAATAGTTTACAGGGGTGTCATACCTGTAGTCTAGTACCGGTACTCATAATCCGCTTTTACCTTATTTACTTGCAATATCAATATCTCTTTCTTTAAAGCTGATCAATATAAACAGCCTATAGGAAAAAAATACTTTAAAAATTTCGAGGGCTACTTTTCAAGCTTGTTTACATGAAAATAACACTCTTTTACTTGTTTTGCATTGAACGCTATGCAAATTTTTTTGGGCTCTTTTATGACTTTTGGGGGCTCTTTTTAGCATTTTGGGGGCTAATTCGCCCGAGCCCCCTTGTATTTTTTCACTGTTTGTAATCAAGCCTCCTTCATAAGAATGTCAATAAAATGACTGCCTTAAAAAATCACAAGGAAGGTTAATTCCTACAAAGGCACAAATCGTATGTGGCAATAAATGCTAAATACATGTACAGCACAAAAGTCTTACTGTACAGTGTACATAAACATGTACAGTACATGAACATAACTTTTTATATGTTCAATGTACATACTCTATGCCTATACTGTGTGTAGTATTGTTTTACTTCACATTAGTCAACCCTTTTTTCTTTAAAAAATTTCAAATAACTGATTCTGCTTTTGGTTTCAGGTCATGATATGTTCATATTGTTCTTTTAAGTTACAAAAAAGTGAATAAAAAATTAATAAATATCAACACAACAGCCCTAATTCTGCACTAGAGATGCAAATTCATTAACCTAAAATTTGTAGAGATAATTACATGTAGTTCTCAGCTCCTTAATTGTTTTGTTTCATTACAAAAATGGGAAGTTAGTGTTTAAAAGTTCTAATCACTCTACTTTTAGTTGATTTACATACTTGAAACAAAATGGAAATGCACACTTGAACAGTGTATTAAAGAAAACCCCATTCCTCATTGTACATTGTTAAGTCAACACAAAGTCACATTGAAATGAGGCAGTGACATACAATCACTGAAAAGTTAATTAGCTGGAAAGCTACAATAACGTGTACAATATTAAAAAACTTTGTTTCACAATAAAAGCTTGAACAGTGATTCTATTTGATATTGAAACACTGCATTTCCATTCACTACTTCCATACCATACAAGCTTGTAGAGCGATTCTATTTGATATATTGAAACACTACATTTCCATTCACTACTTCCATACCATACAAGCTTGTAGAGCGATTCTATTTGATATATATTGAAACACTACTTCCACACGACCTGCAGAAAGTAGGACAACAAGTATATCTTGCTGGAAATCCGAAACGGACCATTTCCTACAAGTCTGCGACTCATTCAATTATGGGCATGACTCATTAGTCCCACGATCCCCTAACACCACAGTATACCTACATGCACTGATTGTTAGTTACTGTATGATCATGATCCCACACTGAAGTATGACTACAGTATTGGCCTACTACAATGTAGGGTCAACTCCAATATATTTAATAGTTTGCGGTCCATTATAAATTAGGTTACCAAGAGACCAAACATAAAGAAAAGTAAATAATCCACATTGCAAGAGTCATTTCCTTATTTGTTTGTCTGATCAATGCTCTCGTAGGGCTGTCAATTTCAAAGACTTATCAAGTATACATGTACTGTAGGCCTGCTAAAATCATGAATGATGTACATGTACTGTAGGTAATATAGGCCTTATACAGGAAAACATACTTTTGACTGGCCCATGTTATATTCTGAATAATTCTGAAAGCCAGCAACATCAGTGGATGTTGACAATTTCATGCTCTTTTACTAAAATTACTCTCTCCAATATTATGAGATACATTTTGTATCTCAACCACTTTTAAGCAAATCTTGTTATGGTATATAAAGAAATTCTATCAGAAATCAATGTCAATAACTTCTTCTTTCAATAGGTAATTTTTATCATTAATAGAAGAACATTTTCAAGGGCACCTCCCCCCCCCCCCCTTATCCCTTTGAAAATAACAGGGGGGTGTTAATAAAATCTGACCATCATACATTTTGTACCTGTTAGTCTACATGTAAATACCATTCAACATAGGTCCCATCTATAACAGAGCCTTTAGAATGTGTAATATCTGAAAAGCAGCTTCCAGAGCATGCTGTATTGAATTCACATAAATTCCCCCCTATAGAACATGAATGAATGACTCTGGTTCAAAGGACTAGAAATGCTTCAGTGAACAAGATGACTCTGTGTACTACACGACTTTACATGTACATGTATGTATGTCTGTCTGATTTCATGCAAAAAATGACAGAATAAATTTCCTGCAAGATGTGAATCTTAAGTTCCATTTTCTTCTGTCATAATCCAGTTACACCAGATTTGTGATTCATTTGCTGTTCATGTAAGGCATATACATGTACTGTACCATAACAACTCACATTGAAAACAAAGATTGGGTGCTTAAATTTGCTGTCTAGGATTGGTTAATTCACTTTACTTCCAAGCCCATATGTTCATTACATGTAGGCTAATGGCTACATTGAATGTGACATGCTCATGTGAGCCCTTGATATGCCACCAGGATAAATTACAAGCATTTTTAGAGGGTAATTAAGTCAGCTATGGATTTTTGAAAAAGAGGGATTTGAGAAAAAAAATTCACTCTGATAATAATAATAATAATAAAGTGTAAATATACTTGATAATAGCAATTTGTTTTAATATATACCATTACTAAGGCACAAGAATGTAGTTTGCTGAACTCCCTGCAAACGCACCTTTTAAAACTAATCTCATAATCACATTGGCAACGCAAGAAGTTTTTTTCCTGTACACGCTGTATAGCATAAACTAACATCGCAAATCTCATCGAAAGCAGACACTTCATGAAACCAGAAAGATTAGCTGAAAGTAAGTCCTTATATATCAATGTTTTAATTGATGTTTATATTTTTTATAGTACATTAAAAATAGATCTATCTCCTTTTTTAGAATGATTGTTTTCTACATAAAAAAATGTTGTCAAACTTGACAAACTTTTTTGCCGGATTGTGGAGAAAATCAGTAGTTGATCCCCCTGTTGTAGGAGCAGAAAAGTTAAGTGTATGGGCCTATGGGGAAAGTTGACAAATGTTAGTTTTATTTTGGAATTCCACATACCAGATTACCAGATGGTTAGTTCTGTCTAATTAGACTTACGTGGCACTTTTATGTGTAGAGTGTAGACTATCTAGTGGGCCAAGGGGGCTGTTGCCCCCCCCCCCCCCATTGGAAAAAAGAAGCATGGAAACTCAAAATTTGTTGTTGTTGTGACAAAAGCGAGTGACCCCCCCCCCCCCCTTCTTCTTCTTCTTCTTTGGTATACTCCTCAACATCCCGTTAGGAACCAAATAAGGAGGATGAGGGGGTGCGCACTGTTGCTTATGTAGTCCTTGTTGCTCGAGTCTTGGTTGCGGAAAAAGTTGGTTGCTTGTAGTTTGAAGGTGTCAGTGTTTGAGGTCCTTTGGATGTTGGGGGTAATGAGTTCCTGTCCTTGATGGTACATGGATTATAAGAGTGTTTAAAACAGTTGGTGCGGGGAGTATTGAATGAAGGAGTTTCCTGAAGTATGTCTGGCGGCTCGTGTAGCTGTTCTTTTTGTATATGGGTCCCAGACACTAGAACTATATTCTACGATAGGACAGACTAGTGTTGTGTAAGCTATAGATTTAGTTTGTTTAGTACATGATATGAGGTTCCTACTAATGAATCCATACCTTATTTGCAGATGACGTAAATGTTAGAAATATGTGTATCCCACTTTAAATCATGGGAGATGGTTATAACAGGAGATCTACATGTACACATGTAGAAGCAGCAAATCTAAGAACATGACATTTTGGGGGGTTTAGTTGCATTTGCCACTTATCATGAGTCTTTCTCCTCCCCCTTCTCCTTCTTTTGCTTCATCTTTTTCCTTCTTCTTCTCCTCCTTCTCGGGTGGAGATGGTACATGTAGGTGAATGGGTTTTTGACATTGTAATCCTTGGAAATTACTGTCAGGGAAAAAGGAGCAATCAAGGATGATTTGCCTCTGAAATATATTAAATAATTAGACATGTTATTGTTAGAAATTTAGAGTAATTAGACTACTAAGTTAAGTAGCAACAACCCTGAAAAACTACCGGTAATCTACTAACTATATTATATGTCTAGACATGTGTAACTGTTACTATCTAGTATCTATTGCGATGAATGTGAAGCAGAAGATATAAAGAAACAGGAAAAGGAACACATATAGTCACTACAAACTTTATATTTCTGAAAATTGTGCTGCGCCACTAGTTTGCTTGACTTTGGCTTTGCTTGCCGTGAGGAGCGTGGAGAAACAACTGGTAGGTTCAGCGTAGAACCCACCAGCCGACTAGCCCAGCTAACCCTGGTTTGATCGGGGAGCCGTCCGGCCAGCTCGCTTACCTCGCGTCGTCTTATGTTCCTTACCCAACGGAGCATTACAGTCCGCACAGACATCGTTGCCTGGTTGTTTCATGATCTCCAGCAGCTTTTTCCTGTTCTTTTCATTCATGATGGCTGATATGTTACGCTCTCCTCTAGCTCTCCAAATTTCACAAAAATCTTACTTTTCCAAGTATATTCTAGGCAGACTTCCACACTCCTGCTGCTACTTGCGTGGAAAGAATATGATTTAGTCAAACAGCTCTATTATCAAAGAGTGGTTAGTCTGGAATAAAGCACATAAATATCCTGTAGGTGCCGGTGGTGTACGCGCGTACCGGTACCGGTACGTGCGCGTGTAGGAATATGTGGGTGTGTCACTTTTTTTGTTCAGACGTGTTCTCGTGCTTCCCGTCTTGTCTAGGGGGAAAACCCCTTTGGGGTCCGTTTTGAGACATGGGATGTTGTAAAAGGTTTTCTCGGTATCAACGTGTTAGTGCACCTCCCTGCACAATTTCTTGGTGGAATTTCTTTGCTGCTGCAAATAATGACAGCAATTTTTTTTAAAAGAGTATTATTTCAAGGCAGTCGAACTAGAAATTGTGCAGGGGGCGCACTGCATTAACTCGATGATACCCAACTGACTTTTACAACGTTTCCTGTCTCAAAAACCTCATTTGCCCCCTAAATATCTCATCTTGATATTCGGGCATCTCGCTATCGAATAGAATGATAATCGGGAACCTCATTTCCATACTTTATTAAGGTATTCGGTGCCTGAAATCATCCAGTAAATAGCCTAATATAAGCGAGCAAAGCGCGAGCGAATGAAAGAAATACAATTTTTATAATTCAAGAAAGAAAAGAAAAAAGTTTTTATTACAATCTCATGAAACTTATTGATTATTATATCGCCCAAGTGGGCGATATAATAATCTTTTTCCATCCCCATGACTGTTTTCTTTCTTTTTCTTTCTTTTAAAACTTTTTTTCCTCTAAAACTTTTTTTGAAACAAGGTCATTTTCTACTCACTGACTCAAAATGGAATTTGATATATTATATTGTGCCCTCTCATGCATAATCATCTCTTTCACTCTAATGCACATTTCTCCTTCCTCATCTTCTTCTCAACCCCACAAGCAGCTCATCGTTTTGCATTATTTTCTGTACCTCCGATCTCTCACTTCTATTTTGACATTGTCTTCTTTTTGTATTGTGACCGTGTTCTCCTATGTCATGTAAAGTACTCTCTTGTCTCCACTCGTCTTTGTTAGCATCCCTTTCCCCTATTCCTAGTTCCTTTTTGTAGTTACGAATTTGGTTATTTAATTATTCATTATTCCTACCATTTGAGGGGTCAACCGCATTGCTTTTTAGTGAGCCCCTCTGTTTCCAATATGTATTATCTGTAAATGATTATAATTGATTTGTAATGTTTTGTTGGAAACAGAAATAAGATTGAATTAAATTGAATTTAAAATTAAATTGAATGCTATATCCTCATGAAATAAAATACACTAGCGGTTTTCTAAAATTTGATGCTTCACGCAATCAATCTTATTTTAAATATTTTGTGATGTAGGCCAATACTTAATTTTTTTCTCGCGGGACCCAGGTTGAAAAAAGCTTCTTAGTCTCAGCAATCGCAAGTTTGCAGTCCCAGATCTCATATGTACATAGTTGTGATTTATATCAATCGCAATAAGTTGTGATTAATATTAACGCTCGAGTTTAAGCAATTCAGAACATTCAATATCATAAAAGCCGTCTTAATTGAGCGATACAAACACACACTCTCTCTCCTATAAGGACAATACCAGGCGAAAAAGAAGGGGGTCATTATATTTTTAGCCGGGTGCCTATATCCTCAAAACATTTTTAATGTTCCATTCGTGCCCTTGTTACCATGTAGGACGAACGGGGGCACATTTTATTTGTGTACTTAATGTCAATTTCAATTTCATTTATTTCCACAGATTCATAAAAGACAGAGTAAATTACAATCAAATATAAAAGCATTACAACAAAAGATGAACCTGCAGAGGGGGTGATAAAAAACCACAGAGGTTTATCGGGGATCATCCCCTGCTTAAAATTACAATATATAAATACAATAGTTTTTTTAATTAACCCTAATAAGGCCGGGGGGGGGGCCATTATGGCCCCCCCCCTCCACAATTTTTCTGATTGCTCGGGAACGCATATGGATGGCGCCCCGCCGCTCGCTGACTTTTTTCTTTCAAGCCTTGCGCAACTTTTAAAATAATTTTTTTGAAAATCGGACCTACGGTTACGAGGTCACGTGACCTTTTGTCCTGGCATGTCAGCCTGAAAATCGCTCATTTTCGTGATTTGTGTACAAAACGTATGGCAAAGTCATTTTTCCTAAAAACAGATCAAACATGGGTTATTGGGTCTTGATTAAAGTTTAGGTGGTTGTTTTGGGAGTCAAAATAGTTGAATTGTAGTAAAAGATGAAATAAAACAACAAAAACAATGAAATACATAAGTTAAAAAAACAATGAAATACATAAGAAATTATCAAAACAAGGGATAACATAAGAAATAAGCTGGCTCTTCCAAATTTTTTGTCGTATTATTATTCAGAATGGTCTAATGAATATATCTAGTGAAAAAGAATGCTTAAATATGAATAATATATGATTTATGGGTAAAAATGTGATTTTTATGACTTTATTTGCATAAATTACCATAAATATGCAAATGTGTGAATTTTTCAAAAAATTGAAATTATCATATTATTCTTTACACTTCACTTGACATGCGTGCAAATTTTGGCGGCGATCGGCCGCTTCGCGGCCGAGATCTTAAGGGGGGCCATAATGGCCCCCCCCCCCCGGCCCTACTAAGACTTCAAATAGCCCGGCCGCGTTATTTTTTTATGCGGCACAGATTGGGGCTTTTTTTTAAAAGGGGTCTTGATTTACAGACTAATACTGGTCGTGTGCGTACTAGACAGTATAAGTAGTAGAGGTCTGTTTTTAATAGTGTTACATGTAATCCACTACCGCATGGAAAATCATTACATCAACAATTAAAATCAAATTGGAAATCTGAAGAGGAGGCAGCACGTCAATAAGGAGAACATCACAATAATTAGTCAATAAAACTTAACTAACTTAAACGAAAAAGAATGTTATCTAAACACGTAGTTCGCGATGGATATACAAACTTCTTCGCAGCGCTAATGCGCTAGCGAACATGAATAGTCTCACGTACGTGCAGACACTATTCAGAAGGGAAAGAACGTACTTCCCATAGGTTTAATACGCGCCGTGCCCCAATCTGTGCCGCATAAAAAAATAACGCAGCCCGGCCCTATTAGGGTTAAACAATAACACATACAAAAACATATATAGATATTACATGCAAATCTATGCGTGGGGTGAGTAGTAGTGAGTTGGTGGTACCAAGAAATACAATATAAAGAGGAAATGAATGATATACAGGAAAGAAATATTGAGAACAATAGAAAGAAACACCGTACAAACTATATCTTAAGTGTAGGCCTATAATTATGTTATAATCATACCCAAATCAGATGGTTGTGTACGGAATGCCCATGCGGTGTTTTGTCAAGAAAGCCAATCGAAAAAGCGCTTAGGAAGGGAAATAGGGGGTATATTCTTACACATTTATGCGGGGCGTCCTCAAATTATATGTAAGTCACATTTTAAGCAATTTCAAAAGTAGGCTAGGAGAATGATAACCATTCTGAGGAGCCTTGTTTTCCAATGTTTAAAATTAGTTCGATACATTTTTTCTTCACACAGTAATCCGCGCACGGCGAGGGTACTACGGAAGTACGGACACTGAAATGTCTTGTAATCTATGCTCTTTGGTAGTACCGTACTACTTCCGCAAACTTTCCTAATATAAGTCTTATTAATCAAGAAACATCGTGACTGAACGTTTTTATTTATATTTCTTAATTTCTTATTACAACATTTTGCTTGATATTCATCACAGAACTAAATCCTATCACTTAACCTCATATTTCTCCTTCAATTAGGTCTAAATTAATTTTATTCCTATAAATTTAGTATTATTGTTCAAAAACAATATAAACGTTTCACAAAAATCTAACCGGGTTTTTCCGTAATCACAGTTGATATGATGGGGCTCGACTTCTATTGAATTTGAACAATATATTATGTGGTTGTCATGTGGATGACCTAAACCTCAGGCACAAAAATTTGCCTTTGTCATATTGTCCCAATTCAGTAATAAACGTTATAATGAACAACATCTCTCATATCAGATTTTGATCAGCTATAGCTGGGCCCCCGACTGAAATAAATAAATATTTTTTAATGATCATTTGCGGGGAAGAAAAAAAATTGTCGAAACCTTATGCATGCATTTTTTAGAAATAGGGGCGTGCATGTGATGTAGACTCTGTGATTAAACAGGAAATTAACACTTGAAACAAGAACAGGAACAACAACAACAACATAACTAACTAGGCTATATAAATAAAATAACTACAACAAAGAAATGAAATTTTGTTTGGAAATGATTGAGGCTTTGTTTTGTTTGTTTTGTTTTGTGTATTCGTCATTTTACGATAAAACACAGTTGTGAACAATGCAAGCCGAGTCTGGTTATGACAACGAGCGTGGGGGTATAATGGGGAATTCCCGAGTAGTATTTCATTTAACTTACATCATGCATAAATGGAGCGTGAATATTAAAGCCTCTTATTGTGGTAGTCTTATATTCATTAGCGAGAGAGGGAGAGAGAGAGAGAGAGAGAGAGAGAGGGGGGGGGGGGAGATAGAGAGAGAAAGAGAGAGAGAGAGAGAGAGAGAGAGAGAGAGTTCCCTTTTTTCTACAATAGCGCAATGTGCGTATCTCTCTCTCTCTCTCTCTCTCTCTCTCTCTCTTTGTCTTGTCTGTCTGTCTGTCTCTATTCTTAGTTTTCTTTTCTGCATTATCAATCTTTCATTTCGTTTGACCTTATATCATTTCTTATATCTTATATATTTACTTTTCACTTCTCATCTTTTTTTCTCTTCTTTACTTTTTTTTTACCTTCTTGTCTTTACAGATCGTTACAAGCCTGCTCCAAAATTTGCTAAATTTGGTCTTGCAAAGAGCTTGATCGAGGGACACATCCCCGCAACCGAGCGAGAAAATTTTCCAATGTGCAATTTTAGAGTAATACCCCAAGTCCCCAAGGTTTTTTCCTTTGCTAGGGTGGGGGCGAGGAGGAATGAATTACCTCCTCATTTTGTGCTGAAAGATATTATTTGGGGACGGTGAAATGATCCCCTC